CACTTTACCGTTGAGCCACATCCCCAGCCCCTTGTGTAATCTTGAGGAGAAAAATGAAGCCTGGAGAAGTTTAGTAACTTTCCCAAGGAACACATCTAATTAGGAGCCAAGTAAAATACTGGAAAATTCTGATTCAAACCTGTGAACTCTATTGCAACATGATATGCCGGTCCTGTTTTTATCCAGAAGGCTCACAGAACAATTTATAAATTGTTGTTAGTAATTAAATCATGCAAAATTATTTTATGTTTCTGAATGACTTTGGAACTTTTCAATCTATGCAACCTTTTTTCTTCAGAAGAATGAAAACCATGGTTTAGGATTATAACACCTAATGGTAAAGTGAATAGTTTGAACTAGATGAGAATTGACATCCCTTTAGATTCTAGGCTTTTATTACTCTATTACTCCAAGTACTTCAACATATTTCTTGAGAATGTGTGTATGTGTATGTGTGTGTGTGTGTGTGTGTGTGTGTGTGTGCGCGAGCGCGCGCGCGCACTGGGACTGAGGCAAAAAAGTTTGAGGAAATAAAATTTTATTCCTCACCTGAAGACATGAATTCTGATCTCTCTCTTACCACAGACTAGTGGTAAGATTTGGGGCAGGTCATCCATCTTTCCACATTTCACTTTTCATATTTGAAGTGTAGTGGTAACTGCCAATTACCTCAAAAGAGATGTTTAAATGTGTTAAAAAAGACCACTTTGAGCAGTTTTAAAGGAAGATGCTTTGAAAACTTAGGGACTTTTTTATTCTTTGGAGTAATCATTTGTCATGAAGAATGTTTGGAAAGGGGATCTCTTGAACTTATTACTTCAAATGTAATTTCCTTTATATGTATATTCCAGTAGTAGTTATAGTAAATTCACACTCTATTGCTGTCCTCTCCTGCTAATCTATMCATTGGTTTATCCATTGTTTCACTCTTTAAGGTTGAAAAGAAGGTATCAGTTGAGTGTTGTAAAGAACATCATTTGAGCTGGGCTGTGTTATATTTCGGGTTTCAAGTCACTTTGGTTTGCATATATCACGTTTGCATTTTTCAAGGTGTCTGTCCATAAAGTCAAGGTACTCAAAATGACCTAAACACTAATAATTCTTCTTAGTGGCTTCCTTGGCTTGTTTTGAAGCCAAGGGTCCTTTTTTTCTTATATGTAAGATCTGCGGATTCAATTGAGTTTTCTTACGTTTTAGTATTACTGTAATATTTCATAAATATTTGCTTTGTGTCATTCTTGAAATTTTTGCATTTCTGAAGGTATATAAGAAAAGTATGGACAACTAGTATGAAGAAATGAAGCCTACTAAATGCATAGTTCTGTCTAGTCACATGTATTATTTTATTTAATCTTCTCTTAAATATGTGTGTAAACTAAGCCCCCTAAATAAAGAGGCATAGAGAAATGGAGTAATTCTTGCTGCTTGCTTGCATAACTAGTAAGTAGCAATAACTGTTATTCTGAGAGTCTGTGCCAATCAGAGGACTATGGGCTCTGAGTTTAATTAATTAATTAATATTTATCATAAATAGTAACCTTCTTCCAGATTGCTTTTCTAGTGTTGCAAAGAGGTTGCATTATATATTCTTAAAGAAGCCTAGGTGGTGGTCTCTGCTTTTCTAAGTTCCTTGCTATTCAAACTTAATAAGGTCAGTAGTTCTGGTAACAGTAACACTCACTACCAGCAATAGGAACACAAGTAGCTGACTTTCCTAGATTACTATTAACTCTAGGTGACACTAGAGATTTTCCTTCCCTCTTTATCTGTTTTAACTTCTTTGGTGCTCATAATACCTCTATGAGGGTACAGATTTTGATTATCCCTATTTTATAGATGAAGAACCTAGAACAAAGCCTAAGAGTTAAGTAACTTGCTCAAATCAAACAACAAATTGGTGGTAGAGCTGGGGTATAAAATGTACACTATTGTCCATTATACCATCTTTCCTCAGTAAATATTTGTCATACTAGAATTACGGGTTGAAAATGACTGGATCCAGTTCTGATTAAGTTAAGATGAAGAGAGATTTATTAGGAAGTCCTGGAGTGGCTCACTGAATAAGCAAGAAGCCTGGAGAACTAGGCATTGAAAAAAGGACCATGGAAGACCAGTTGGCAGAGAATGCAGCTCAACTGTACCATAGGAGTTTGTCCATAGTACCACTGATGGTGCTGTTGCTATGGCCAGCACTGTTCCAGAGAGCTGGCTAGTGGCCAGCCACTGGGCCACAGGACCCATGGGTCTGCTGGTAGGCTGATGCTGTAGTAAAAAGGAAATCTAACTCTTCTTTCATCTTTGCATCTTTTAGTAAGATTCAAAGGCCCTGGTAGAAGCAGTTACTCAAGGGAGACAATATCACATTTAAGAAAGGCCAGATTTGTAGATATTTTGATTTAATTGTTCCCATATAGTCTGGGCAGGATGGTAACAGAAGGAAATGATAACTTTCCAAATGTTGAATCTTAAAAAAAAAGATATTTTCTGAGAGAAACTTGACTTGTTATGTGGGTGAAATAAGTCACTAAAACGATTTGAAAAAAATCACTGGGAAATTGGCAGCTAAAGAATGAGAGGGCACTGGTTGTCTATTTGTTAAATCCAGTTAAGCTCAAAGTGACCACTTTTTGGTTCACTCTGGGTCAGAGATAAAATAGCCTAACTTCCAAATGACTAATAACTGGACAAATCATAAATACATCTAGATTTTCTGTCTAATATTAATAGTGGGTAAAGAAATTCATTGATAGTACTCTTCAGAAAAAGGATGATAGTTTTKTTCATAAATATGATTATTATCAGTGTTTTAAGAATTTGTTATTCAGGCCAGAGTTCACTTTAGCCAATGCTGTAATAAAATATTTTCAAGCCTTATCTGATGACTCACTGATTTGTAAGTACTAATCCATACAACAGAATTTCTGTTTGGTACAATGAGTTGGATCAGGCCACGAAATAAGATTTGACTTTTATCACACACCACTTAATGGAAACTAATTTTATTAGAATTCTGAACTTTTAGTGATTAAAGTTTTGATTGCTTATAGTATGTCAGACAATAAAGTACTTTATATATATCTTCTTTTTTTTCATTTTCATAGTAACCCTTTAAACTACATATTATTATTATTGATACTGTAAGGATGAAACTGAGGCTGAGAAGTAACTTGCTTGAGGTCCTGCAAGAAATGGTGGAGCTGGGTTTTAAGTGCACATTTATTTGGCTCTAAAGCCTACTTTTAATGTTAATACTTTATTTTGAAAGAAAACCATTAAATTACAAGTCTTCTATGGATTAGCACTCTTGAATTTTTAGATCAGGAGATTGCCTTGTCACTTGTTCTTAGAGAACAATTTTCTCTTTTTAGAGTCAGTGGCTCAAGAAATGCCATTCCATCCAAGATTCATTTTCTGAGTTAAAAGAATGTAAATTGTTATTGCTGCATAGGCCATTACTGTTTATAACATTCCTGCACAAGTTGTCATACTGGATGTGTGGATCACACAACTTTCTCACGGGTTAGGATGAAAACTGATAGGGTCAGGCAGGCTATGTGGCATCTCAGATCATCTCTAGGACTTGAAACTACTCATTATTAAGAACTGAATATTTTCAGAAAAGGACTGAATGGTTGCCATCTCTTGGTGGTAACAAATCTCTAAATTTACCAAGCATCTTGTATAAGATATCTCCTTGTATAAAATATCTCCTTGTATAAAATATCTTTTTTTTTTTTAATTGAGTTTTCACTTTCAAGCTTCAAATTAAGTTCAGGCTTTCTAGGATTGGGAAGGCAAGTTTTGTTTATTTTATTTTAACTTTTATGGTTTTGACTGAATTTGGTGATTTGAAGCTAAAGTGTAATCTTTTATGTGTGTTAGGGTAAATCTCTATAGAATTCTCATCATGGCATTAAAATACTAATCCTAACCCTTATTGTGAAATGTTTCTCTCTTGTTCAGTTTAGTCCATGAGCTTACAAAACTGCTTTCTATGTATGACATACACATACATATGGGAAAGAAAAAGCCCATCTTAGTCTTGACAGTGTGACATTAGTCTAAGTTCTATAAATGAAGGTGGCTCACTGATGTAGGGTAAAAGCCCAGATCCACTGATGTCATTGACAAAAGCCTGTAAAATCATTCTTCAAAAATTTAATACTCATTACATCTTATTTGTTTACTAAAATTCTGTTACTTTGAATATGAATTGTTTTAATTCAGTTTTATCTTGTTATATACATAGTTTTTTGGTGTGTGTGTGTGTGTGTGTGTGTGTGTGTGTGTGTATAATTTTTAAAAATCAAGATGCTTTTTGGGTACTGTATGGAGCTCTAGAAAGCCAGATGTGGTGTGGCAATAGACAAATAGATTCAAGGCTGCAACGTCGAATGCCTCTGTGGATAGCCTTATGCATATACATCTAGTAATACGTGTTCAGGCTCAACACTTTTTAGTCAGATATATAGATATAAACCCTTGTAGATAGTGGATCAAAAGGTTCTATCTTTGTTATTATTAGCAGGACTCTTAGGAAAGGTCTGCTTTGTACTCCAACAAAAGTACCTATTATATGTGAATGAAAGAATTAATAGAGACCTACGGATTCGTGTGTTTTGTTTTATTTTTAGTTTGCAGTTTGGTGTACAACTTTATGTATGTTAATTTTTTTTTCTGATAAGTCAACTATCATATGGAAGAGGTGGAAATTATTTATAATCTGCATGGCATTATAACAATATTTAAAAAGCTCCATGACTCTGGACCTGGGGCCAGGGCTGAGAAATGGTTTCCTAGTGGCAAACTAAGCATTCCTTGTAACACGATATGAACTGCAACAGAATGCTCTAGGCAATATTAAATTGGGGTGATTTTTAGAAAGTGACAAATGTTTTATGTTTCCTAAATCTGAAATGGGTTCTACCAGCTCTAAACGGCTGCCAAGTTATGTTATCACTTGCCTGCTTTGTAACTGCCTCAATTATTTTCTTCCCCAGCCCTGTATGATGAGATCCGTCAGTTTCGCAAGGCCTGTGGGGAGGCTCATCTCAAAACTATCTTAGCAACAGGAGAACTCGGCTCTCTCACTAATGTCTATAAAGCCAGTATGATAGCAATGATGGCAGGTAAGTGTTTTATATTTAAATGATGTTTTGTATTAGATTGATGTTATTTAGGAAGAATAAATAAATGAAAGCATTTGTCTATTATTAAAAGTTCTAACCACTTAATTTTGTTTTTTTTTTTGTGGGAGGTGTGAGATATTTTGTGAATACATGTAAAGTGCAAACTAGTCAAAAACTCTTGGCTTTCTTCCACATTTCCTGTGGTGTTTCATTGTTGCACTATTCTTACAAGGCAGTAGATGGCTCTCTTGTTAGTGAATTGCCTTTTGTGTTATTTGATTATTCATTCATCAACATATATTAGACAGGACTTATTTCTCTGACTTATTTAAGCTTTGGATTTTTCTCAGAGATGTGTACCCATACTATTTAAGGCAGCTTCTGCTTTTGTGTTAATTAAAAAAAAATTAGTGTGGTATTGTTTTTCATACTTTCAAATGTAGATTGACTTATTCTTTATTTTTACAAATAGCAGATCTATCCATTTAGACATGCAAGCTTGAAACCTCAGAGTTGTGCTTGAGATTTTTCTTACTTTCAGTCTTGAGAGTTCTTTTCTTTACTGTATCTGTCCTCCACATTGTTGCAAAACTAACTTTTAAAAATGTTAATTTGATTATGGTGCTGCTTGCTTAAAAATCTTTTAGTTGCTTCTCTTTTTCTTCCAGATAAAGTATAAATTCTTCAATTCCTCAATCATCCTTCCTAAGACTTCCAAAAAGTCCTTCCTAAGACCCTTCCCGTGTCTCTACCATCATCATCATCTTTTTTTTTTTTTTTTTTTTTGTGGTGCTGGGGATTGAACCCAAGGTCTTGTGCATGCAACGCAAGCACTCTACTAATGGAGCTATATCCCCAGCCCTCTACCATATTCTTTTTCTTTCACCCCACAGGCTCCAGTAATATGGAATGATATATAGTCCTATGGCTGATATCATCCAAGCTTTTGTATCTTTGTATGTGCTGTGCACCTGCCTAAAATGACTTGAATAACTCCTTGGTGTCTTTGTATTCACAGGCATCACCCTTTTCAGGAATATTTTCCTGAAACCACTTCTTCCTCTACCACTTGGCCCATTTTCTCCTGTGTGCCCCCATATCATTMTCTTTAAACTTCTTAATGTTACCTTATCATACTGCACTGTGATTAAGGGCTAAATTCTAGGGGTCAACCCTACTAGGGGCCTCACATTTAGATGAAGATACCTGGCTTCCCTGGTCTTAAATGTGGGCCAGGGCTGGGGATGTGGCTCAAGTGGTAGCGCGATCGCCTGGCATACATGCGGCCCAGGTTCGATCCTCAGCACCACATACAAACAAAGATGATGTGTCTGCCGAAAACTAAAAAATAAATATTAAAAATTCTCTCTCTCTTTCTTTCTTTAAAAAAAATGTGGGCCATACACTATAGTTACCCTTTTGAATTTTATACTCTGTATTTCTTGAAAGTTTTGTTAGACCTGGTAGATCATCTCTGGAACACTAATGAAAACCAGCCTGCTAGGCATTAACAGTGCTATTGCCCTCATCATTGCTACTGGACCAGAAGATATCTGCTTTTACTGTTCCATTTAGAGCAAATTTCTGAAAATCTAAGAATAAGAAAGAACAGAACACTGAACAGTGGGTTGTTTAGTGATATTCACATTTCAGCGGTCCATAGTGAAAGGCTGCTGCAATTCTTTGGAACCTGGGAAAAATCCCTTAGAATCTTAGGTAGACTTATAGTTTCCCTTTCATGCTCTGTGCCAGCACAAGGGATTGTTAGCTCAGGCAACAAAGCAAAAGTTTAGAAATGAACAACAGTAGCCATCTATTTGCACTACCCATTTTGTGGTGCCTTCACTATTGGTGTATACATGAGACTGATATACTCAACAGGTCACATCTGAGCCACTCTTGAAGCATCTGTTACCCTCGTATAGTTTATTCATTTTGAGAGGTGAGCCTAAGTCTACTCTACCCACTGAACAWACTACTTACAGTAAGAACATGGTATTAGGTCATCATGCTTTGGAAGCCTTTGTTCCACTCTGTATCCTTCTAACCATAGGGAAAATTTGATTAGAAACTCTCCCTTCCCACCCTCTCTCTCCCTCTCCCCCTCTCTCCCACTCCCTCCYTCTCCCTCCCACCACCTCCCTTTCTGCTTATTTTACTATCCATGTTGTTTATCCGCTTCAATTTTTTTCATTCAACCAGTGTCTGTTGTTAATGCACTATGAGTAATGACCAGTTGTTATATGCTTTACCAGGTACGTTTTCTTTTTCCTTCCTCTTCTTGTTTCTGTGGTACCGGGTGAACCCAGGGCTTTGTGCATGTCAGGCAAGCACTCTAGCACTGAGCTACACTCCAGTCCTACCAGATACTTTTAAATTATATATATATATATAAAATATAATTTTTTTTTTAGTTTTCAATGGACCTTTATTTATTTATATGTGGTGCTGAGAGTTGAACCCAGTGCCTCACACATGCTAGGCAAGTGCTCTACCACTGAGCCATGACCCCAGCCCTAAATAATATTTCTTAATCTTCATATCAGCCTTGGAGTTGATGAAGAAACTTGAGATAAAAGTAACTTAAGGTCACAAAGCTAATACATCTTCTATAGAGTTCTTATTTGACCCAGGTCCTCCTGCTCCAGATTTATTGTTTTTTTCACTTTCATAGCTGTTTCCCAAACTATCATGCTAGAGCTTAGCATGAATGAAAGATACAGTCTTTGTGAGGTATAATGTATGAAAGCATCTAGCCCATTTCCTGGTCCATGTTTTATCCTGTTGAGATATATAATAGAGTTAAATATTTTTTGAAGACCTTTCTAAATTTAAAAATTTTTATATTATTTTAACTTTATATGTAACTCACCAAATAATCCTCTCTATTTAAGACTGACTAAATTTACATTGTTTTCTACTATTTTTTTCTTTCACTGATTTATTTTTAAAAATCAATTTTATTTCAGTAAATTTGCATTCTCTTTAATTCAGATGATAAATATATAGTGTGAGGATTTTTGACAAATTGTATACATGTGTAGCCATTACTCCAGTCAAGAAGTAGAATATTTATATCATCCCAGAAATACTTACACATCCATCCATCTATCTATCTATCTATCTATTTATTTAATTATAGTTTTTGATGGACAGAATGCCTTTATTTTATTTCTTTATTTTTATGGGTGCTGAGAATAGAACTCAGTGTCTCACACATGCTAGGCAATCACTCTGCCACTGAGCTACAACCCCAGCCCACTTACACATCTCTTTATAGTCATTTTCATACTTCTCTCCTGCTGTTCTGGGTGCACTCCCTGATCTGATTTTATCACCATGTGTCAGCTTTTGCAATTTTAGGATATTATATAATCATATAATATGTATGTACTCTTTTAGTGCGTCTGTTTGCTCCTCTTGCTCAAGGTAATAGCTGAGATACTAAGAAGTTTACTTAGAAGTATTAAACTGAACAAATACACTGAATTTCTAAAATTATTGGTAAAAAGTTGAATATTTTTCCCCTCAGTCTGGTRTCTGTAGGATCTGTAGTTATATCTCATTCTTCATTCATGATATGGATTATTTTTGTTTTTTTTCCTGTTGCTTTTGTTCTCCTCCTCCCCTTCTTCTTCTTTACTTTCTTCCTCTTCTGTTTTTCAAGTCTTATAAGGAGTTTTCCAATTTTATTAATCCTTCTTAAGAAACAGCCTTGTTTGTTTGATGATGTTAAGGTATTTTCTAATTCCCTTTGTGACTACTCTTGTCATATAGAGTGGAATGTTATTTTGATTGAGATGTATAATTTCCAAACATTTAGTACTTTTCTGGGTGTTTTATTGTTATTTTATAATTTGAAAATTTTTTGGAGTATCTATTGTAAGTCCTTTTGTTTTTTTAAAATTAATGAGGTTTTGATTTTATAGTTTATTTTATGGTATCTTTAGGTAAATGGTTCAATTCACTTAAAAGAATTGGTATTTGCAGATGTTGGTGYAAATGTCAGATCAAGTTGGTTGATAGCTTTTTCAGATCTTTTTTGTTTTGTTTTTGGTCTGTTGATTCTATTTATTACCAAGAGGTTATTTAAAATCTCATATATGATTGTGGATATGTCTCCATATTCATGTTCCTTTAAAATGTCATTTTTTCCTTTGTGTATTTTGGAGCTCTGTTATTAGGTATATATACTTTTAGGGTTGTTATGTTCACCTTTTGAATCATCAAATTCATTATGAGATGTCTGTCTTTATCTCTATTACTAGTCCTTGTTTAAATGTCCATGTTGTCTAATATTAATTCAGCCACACCAGTTTTCTTGTGTTTATCATTTGCATACCTCTTTTCCCCTATCCTTTTATTTTCAACCCATCTATAGTTATATATTTTAAGTATATATCTCTTAAAAGAAGGAAATCCTATCATTTTTGACAACATGGATGGATCTGGAGATCATTATGTTAAGTGAAATTGGCCAGGCACAGAAAGACAAGAAGAACCACACGATCTCACTCATGTTGGATTTAAAAGTGTTGATCTCATAGACACTGAGAGAGGAATGATGGTTCTAGAGGCCAGGGACAGGTAGGAAAGGGTTGCTCAATAGCTGCTAAGTTATAGTTAACTAGGAACAAGAAGTTCTGTTGTTCTGTTACATAGTAGAGTAACAATGAACAGCAATGTACTATACATTTCAAAGAGCTACAAGAAGTTTGAAAATTTTCATGTTAGATATGTTTAGCCAGATTTAAATATTATATAGTGTATACACATATTGTACTTTTATGCTTTTATGTATGTTAAAATTAATTTTAAAAAGAAAAATGAAAGTACATTTCTTGTGGATAGCTTTTTAAAAATTTATTGTGATAATTTGTACTTTTTAATCAAAGAGTTTTGTCCATTTACATTCTATATAATTATTTATGTGGTAGGATTATCTGTCATCTTGCAATTTATTTTCTATCTCCTTTTTGTTCATCTTGTCCAGTTTCATT